AGGACGGCGGGAGTGAAACGGTTTCACCCAGTTAACCCGATATTTGCAGACACAGAGATTCAATCCCTAGACCTGTGCCCTAACCCAGTACATTGAACTTGTGTGCTGAGTGAGATTCGATCCCTAGACCTACCTTATACCCTGTACATTGACCCTATGTGCTGAGTAAGATTTGATCCCTTGCCCTATCCTGTACCCTGTACATAGGCCCAGCGATCTGTGTGAGACTTGATCCCTAGGTCTGTAGGATAGGAGTTGAGTCTGTCACCAGTAGGTCTAAAGTGTTTGTTTTAGAAGTCTCTACCTAAGTCTACCGTGGTCCTAGAGTATGTCTGTCGGTCTGTAGATTCTAGAAGTCCGTAGGACCCTGTAGTCCAGTCCAGTCAGCAGGCACTAAGGGAAAGGGGCCGCACGTGGGGACAGGGAAAGGCCTGCGCGCTCTGGAGAAGACTCCAGAAGACGCGTAGGGGCCCAGGGCCACACGGTTTGGCCCACGCGTTGAGCAGAAGGCTCCAGAAACGCGGTTTGGGACCCAGGCCTCACGCGTTTTGGCCCAGGCCCACGCAGTTTGAGGCAGGGCCCGGGTACCTCCACTGAAGTATAAATAAACAGGCAGCGTCCAGCCATTCATTCATTCGCCTGTGTGCCATGCGGAAGAGCTGCCTTGGTATCTTGTGCGTGGAGGTCTGCAGGTGCCTGGAGACGAAGTGGGCTGTGAGGAAGACAGCGGCCATAGCTGGCCAGTGAGGAAGACACCGGCGGCCATAGCTAGGAGGAGGAAGACGACGGCGGCCATAGCCGCCCAGCTGTTGGTGTAGACAGAGCGTACAGAGTGTGTGTGTTTGTGCAGCGTGGTTCAGGGTGATCCTCGTACGTGCGTGCATGCGAGAGTGTGGGAGATTGAGGCTGGTGGTAGAGACAGTGTTTGGCGGCCATAGCCGTAAGTTGTACAGTTGATTCAAAGTTCATTGTTGTTTCTGAGTTGGAAGAGTTTGGTTTGCCATTGGTTTTCAAGTGTGCATGTTGTGAGCAAGTCCAGACTCGAGTCTGATTGCAGTAACTATGTCACTTTTTGCTCATTTTCCTGTTCTCTGAGGTTGATTATTCCTTGGGTTCTTGTGTGAATCTTTGGTGGTTTCTTGTTGTACTCCAGTTCAGCCTGTTCCCTCTCTGAGTCCCAGTCCTAGAGCAGATATTCCCTAGCTTTTTCCTCCCTGATGACTCGAGAGTCGTCCAAGGGGATAGCATTGATCGTTGTGGGATTCCCTGATTCTTTCCCTGTCGTCTTCTTTTGCCATTTGCTATCCACTGGGCGAAAGATATCTGGCTTTTTGGTTATGGGATCCTTATCAAAGTAGTGCCATACCCAGCCTGGGTCTTCCATATTATCATCAAAGACCCATCCACCATAGGTAGGGTCCACCATGAACCGAGTACGACGGCCCTCTTCTACCTCCACCAGCATATTAGGATGGAGCTTCCTTTCCTTCTGTTGTTGCGAACTTGGGACAATTCGGGTCGGTACCGAGGTGGGCCTTGCTCTCCACATTGGAAGCAGATTGGTGAGGTTTTCGTGGAGATTATGATGAATCCTTCTGCGTCCTGGATCACAAATTTCCACGTATGGGCGAACACCGACGGGTGTCGGTCTTCACCTCTAGAATTGCTGTCATTGTGCCGCAGTGGGGGGCTAGAAATTCCGGTATTGGCAAAATCCATTTGAGGATTTTGTCCATTGGATACTGTCTCTCCAATCTGTTGACCAGTAGTCCATGAAACCTGGTTTTATTTTGTAGAATTGAACACAAAACTGTTCTTTCATCAATGTGTGCTTGTAAGAGACTGTGTAGGTTGGATTTGGGCATTGATTTGTTTGCTTTTTCTATGCCGCCAATGTGCAGATCGAGCCATTGCAGTTCCTTGATTTCTTTTCAGCTGCTATCTGTGTGTGTTTTTCATGGTTAAACATAATCGTGACCGAGTTGCGCCACGCTTTGCAAGGAGAAAGCTTCGTTGATTGTTTTCAGTTTTTCTTCCTTTTTTATTGCTGCGGTCACCCACTTCCTCTTTTCTGCCGGCATGAGGGCTGCTCGATTTCTCACAAAGTTGAACACAATCCCATGCTCCTCATGGAGCTCATCGAGTTGTAACACTTTTCCGTCTGGGTATTTCCAGACAACAATTTCTTCATCCTTTACTTGTGGATTTGTGAAAAGTCTCATTTACTCGTATGTCTTCTGCCTTTGTCTTTTCAATGAGAAAATTCAGCACATTGTTGCCAATCACACCAGATGACATTTTGGTTGCCTGAGAGTTCCGCATAGTTGCCGATGAGCTTTGCAACTAAATGAGCTTTGAAACGTTTGTTTACATGATGCATCGTTGCGGCAATTTCCAGGGCCCTGCATTCTGTCGCTTTGAGAGGTTCTCTGTTCATTTAGGGCTGGGCGGCAGGGAGAGACTGATGGCTGCCCTTTTTTTTTTTTTTTTTTTTTTTTTACTCCGTGTAGGTGTTCTTACACGTGTGGGAGTTATGACTGTGGAATATAGGGAAAGACTGATTGAAAAAGGGCTGGAGAAGGGATACAGGGACCAGGTGGAGTAAGGGCGGATTAAGGGGGGGAAGGGTGAGTACTATCACTTTTGTGGGGCGAAGGCGGGACCGAGTGAAAGAAGGACAGCGTATGGAGGGGGCTGTAATGAAGAGGGATAATTGGTGTCAATGTTAGGTATAGTCAGTGTGGAAGGGGGCGGGCGATCGTAGGCTTCTGTCACTGAGGCTGATGGTTTCCACGCTGGAGCTCTTCCCTAAGGAAGGCTCTTTCACTCAAGCATTGAAGAAGCGGTCATTTGTCGGTAGTTTGCTTGAAACCTGCGGTTACTCCCACAGTGACATAAAGTCGATCCCCGGCGTCTTCACCTGGAGCAGGGCACAAGCCAGAGGCAGCATTTGTTTCATCCGTTTCTCGAGTGTTGAAAGTCTTGAAAGCGCCAAAGACGCCCTTGTCCGTACTTGGTGAAGTCTTGGGCGGTCTAGGCACGCACGGGTAGAGCTTCTTCGTGCCCCAGCAGGGCTATGTCGTCCCTGGTAGGGCGCTTCGACGTTGTGTAGCTTGGCGGTGCGTAGCTTGGCATCGTTTTTTATTAGAACAACATAGGTGGCACGGGCGCCAATGCGGCCGCGAAAACTATCGCTGTTGCTGCACTAACCAAAGGGCACGAGCGCAGTGTATCATATCCTCCTGTTCTTGGTCGGAGCAAACTATACATGGATGAGAGTTGTTCGGTTCTTTCTCCTTCCTTCGAGCATGAAGCCACCGGTTAACTGAAGTGCGGCATAGGCTACAAGCCGTTCAATACTCCTAAGTTCCTAACCTTCAGTGGTCTGATATTTTTTCAAGGAAATCTTCGTTATGTGGTCAGCTTCATACCTTATCAGCTTTGTCCACTTCTGTTAATTGTTGTCTTGGGGTCTTTGGTTCTGAGGAGCATCTCGTATCCCAGCTTAACAGTGCATTCGGTAATTGGGATTGGGCTTTTGTTCCTGCTGTCTCCCGCTCGCCTTCCCGGCCGTTTCTCCCTGCGTGGTTCGATGTCGAAGATTATAGTGTGGTGGCCCTTTCGCATCCAGAGCAATGTCGTGCCTGTCCGCTTGGGGCACGCCTGGGAGCCTTTAGAGTGATCCTGTAAACGTTAGTGCAGATTAACCCTGTCGATAGAACCAAAATGTATATAGAGCCACACCCATAAGGACCTATTTTGTTTGTTGGGGGGGGGAAAGAAATTTGCAGAACACCAGATGAACAATTGTTTGTGTATACATGTTTTTGTGTTGTATGGTCGCTTATTTGCGGTGTCAATTGAACTGGATAAAAGTTACATGAGTGAATAACATCTTCTTTTTTCCTTTTGTGTAGGCATTGCCTGCACTGCGGGCATGAAGCTAGTTTGGTTGAAGGGTGTGCATGAGCAGACTAACTTGCCCTGACCCTAACTGACATGTCCATGCATCCTTCACTCTGTGAGGTTGTTGTGTTATCTCCTGAGTGTCATCTTATCTGTGAGATAGGAGAGCCAGTTGACCTTGACTGTTGTCCCCACTCTTGCCAGTGCTTCTGGTGGGTGAAAAGGGCATAGAGGAAGGGCCCATGCCTCCGTATTGAGGTACCAGATGATAAAGAGGGAGCAGGCGGTAATTTGGGATTGGTCACACACACATGCACTGTCCGCACATCGCTCACATATGCACTAGGCGAGCGGAGTGTATCTGACTAGTCAGTCCCTGTGGAGACTATCACATGATTAGCCCATTAAAGGGATGGGTGTACTAATGATGCATCATGTGATGTGTAAGCTATGGTGCAGTGCACCACCTACACTAGCTATGGCTACTCTCGCTCTCACTCTCACTCCATCCGTCTGCTTTCTCCCAGCGCTAGCCCTCCATCACCAGCGCTCCAGCCTCAAAACAGTGCAAGGCAGAAGGAATACACGCGGGGCCACGCCCAGTGTTTGTATTGTTGACTCACCCTGACCTTCCTCCAGTTGCCTCCTTGTGGCTGGGATTTCTCGATCTATGCTTCCAAGATTTTCTTGTGCCGATGTGTGCCCAGACCCAGTGGGCCTTGGAAGCTTTTGGAAACTGCACCTAGCCTTTGGATTGTGTGGTCTGTGGCCGTGTTGGACTACTCAGAAAGCCTCGAATCTTTGAACTTCGCGCCCGTGTCATGCCAGACTGTTGAATTTCCTAAGGCCTATGTTGACTGCTGGAGGCCCCGTGTGCCTCAATTTGACACTTGACCCCGGGCCTACTGGCTCAAGGACTCTCTGGTGCCTTTTTAGAGGCCATAGGACCGACTTTTGACGCTAGAACTTCAGACTGGCCAAAAGCTATGACCCTAACGGTTGTTCTGTGTTGATTTGACTTCAGTTTTTTGCAAAGGACTTTAAAGAAGGATATTAATGAGTGGTCGTCAATTCCTGTTTTCTGTTCTTTGGATTGGGTTGACTCTTTGCCAGACAAAAAACCAAAAACCATTTGCAGACCTGAAGCAAGGTCGATCTCAATGGATGTCAGACCTCGAAGCTAAGGTGAACGAGGAGAAAGCTATTGAACGGGCATTCAGAAGGGACTTCGATGGACATGAATACTTTGACGAAATGGAGCTTCTTTTCCGTGGGGCCAAGATAGGTCAAGAAGATGGTGGTGGTGATGGGACTGGTGCCACCCAGGGGAAGGAACACCGAAGGAGCGTGTACACTTATCATCGGTCGTCTCGTCCGAATACGCGCCCAAAGACCGGAGGCACTCTACAACGGGGTGCATCGAGACGCTTGATGCACGTATCCAGTGCCAGAGGCTCACTAACTGATGCATCTCAGAGCAAGCTCCCGGGCCACACTGTATTATTCAGCTCTGGCCCTGCTGCGTCAACAGATGCTGAATCTTCTGCAGCATCGAAGAAAGATAAGATAGTTAGCAGAAGTGGAGCATCAGCAATGAAGAAAGCTTCCAAGGCGTCAACTGCAATCGTCCATCTTGAGGATCCCAAGAGCCTCACCCTTGGCGACGTCAACGCCTCTGGTCCTCAAGCTACCAAAACGCGGCCAGAGGAACAGCTTCCACTGATTCCACGGCAAGAATGGATGGACCAATCTGTGTTTACGGCTCTCACTGACATGAGGCGGGCAAGGATCGAAAAGGAAGAGGAGATCAAGCAGTGCCAATTTCGAATAGGGCTGTATAACGGAGTAAGTTGTTTTCACAGGCATGTTGTTTTATTATTACAATTGTTCTAACTACCCCATCTGTTATGCACTCTTTTTTTTCTCCCCCCCCGCATTGAAATTTGAGACAGGCCCTGATGGTCTTGGCTCCTTATCCATTCCGGGGAGCGTCAGTCCGGCCCCTATTGCACCGGCAAGTCCGAGATACAAAAATAACACACGCACGCTTCCTTCCGTTTGGCCAAAGGAACCCTGAGCAGCATTGATTGCGCCTACTTGCTTGGAGGTTCAACTTTCAGCTTGCTTTCCCTCTACGTTTCCTCTCAGGTTTAACTCACAGAACCTGCCAAATTGACTTGGTTGCCAGATATACAGGAGCGGCATGGGTATGAACCACCCTCTGCTAAACATCATGGAATTCTGTTAGAGCCACTTTTGACCCTGGCCGCCAGCTGATACTCTGCAGATCCAGATTCTTGTTGTCTCAAATTCTGGTCTGGCTGGGCTCTTGTGGGTCTGGTGGTTGGGTGGTCTGCATCCTGAGCCCCGAGTCAGAGTTGTGCCACTCTTTCCGTCTGATGCTGGTGCCATTTAAGTCTGCCACCTTGCCACTTACCAACCATACTCTCTTGAACTTAGCCCTGATTCTCTGTTGCTGGTCCGGATTTTCTGGCATAGAGAGCTTAACTGTTTGCCATTTGCATAGGATCTCAGCCTGAATCAGTGTCTTGGAGGATGTCCATACGCTGCTCCATGAATTGCTGGAGCTGTCCCAACTCAATTCCACAAGACAGAGAAAATGTTGTTCGGAATGATCGAAAAGGTAACGCTGTGGTCCATCTAGAAGGAAAGGTGCTGCAGAACCATTGAGGGACTCTCAACTCCAAGGGAGAAGGTATGGGCGGAGACAAGGACCTTGATTCAGGCAGAGATTCTTTGTAAGACGAGACACTCCATGCCAGATGACGAAGAGAGCAACAGAGAAGAATCAAGGCAAATTTCACTAAGGTGTGGCTTGCAGGGGGAAAGTAGCTGAGATAAATGACTTTCGCATACGGTGGAAAGACTAGCACGACTCAGAAGCAGGATGGAGATGGCAGAGATCCTAGCCAGCAGATGGACACAATCTATCACAGGCCATGTAATATTGAAGGGCAAATTCCAAGATTGCATCTTCCGTAACTTTACCTTTCTTGCTCTTTATCATTTATCTGACAGGTTCACACAGTGGACCTGAGAGGAAAGGCGGAAGTAAGGGAAGCTGACAGTCAATCCTCCACGATGCTGGAGTAATCAATGCTGGCAAGGGTTCCTTCGGCCAGACGGAACGAAGCGTGAGTGTGTTTCACGATGTAATATTTTATCCTGACTTGCCGGTTACTGCTGGGTTCACAAGTTCCCAAGCAATGGCAACCTTTCCACAAGCATATGTTCCATTTAATAAGACAAACAATACGCAGCGTAGCTGACAAATCACGATAGAAGGCACAACAATGCATAAACAAGAAGCTAAGGAAATTATCCTAACCCTCATCAAAACACACCTTAAGGCACAGTGGAAAGCAGTGAGGAATCAGGTACGTCAGCAGCCAGGGCAAGAGGAAGAAATCATGAAAAGATTTAAGCAAAAGGTACTAGGTGACGGAGTGGTAGCAGCAATCCAAGGGGCGCATTTGATTTTGAAATGGAGAGGGGGAGAACGCTAATCACAGGATAACATTGAAGATTAAAAGGAGGAACAGGACCCATGTAGTGGAGGGTAGGGTTTAGGGTTTAAAGGAAGTAGATAGAGAAAGGGGAGTCGCAGGCAAGGAAAGGGTTTAGGGTTTATCGGAGATTCAAAAGGGAATAGGACTGATACAGTAGAAAGTAGGGTTTAGAGTTTAGGGGACGCAGATGGTAATGGGAGTCGGGTTTAGGGACATAGAGGGAAAAAAGGGACCAGACTGAAACAAACTCCGCAAGGGGAAGGGGAGGCCAATTCACATTATTCCAAGGGTAAACGGAAGCTTCAGGAAGAGCCAAGAAAGATAGGACAAGCTGCATACTAGGGTTTAATGTTTTAACAGGGGACAGGAAAGGCCAGTTAGCAGTTCCAGCACTTAAAGCAAAGCCGACAGCCAAGCAACTGAGAGGAACAAGCTAGCTCGACCAATGCAAGTGGAATATAATGAATAAACAGGAAAGGAGGAGAATAGACTGGGCCTAAATTAGGTCCATCAGGCTAACTTAGGCAGGGGTGAGGGGTGGTACATCCTTCCTTCAGGAAGTAATCAATGCCGTCCTTCGGGCCTCCACACCATAAGGGGGAGGAGCGTGGGTAAGTTCTCATTGTAATTTTGCCTGACTTGCCGGTGGAATGGGAACCGGACTGATGCTCCCCAGAATGGAAAAGGAGCCGGAACCGTAAGGTTCTGTTTTTTTTTTTTAAAAAAAAAAGGCACAGTTAT